ATATATATATATATATATATATATATATATATATATATATATATATTATATATATATATATATATATATATATATATATATATATATATTTAAAACTTTGTATTTGTATATATATATATATATATATATATATATATATATATATATATATATATATATATATATTCAGCTTACCATGAAGATCCGTTTAGGTGAAACCTAGGTAGGTTATTCCTGGCTCTTTAGGATTTATTCCAATTATCCCTGCTCTTCTTCGATTGAGCACTCTACCTTTTAGCTTTATTACTCGCTTGGGATTTTTTGAGGAACTAAAAACTTAAGGCACTGGACGATTTATTTTACCCTGTTCAGATTTTTCTAGTTCTTTCTTTTTATTTCCAATTGTTTTCCTCGGGTACCAATTTGTTTGGATAGACTTATAAGTTGTGCTATCCGATTTTTCTAACTGAGTATTACTAGTATTTTTTATATATATATATATATATATATATATATATATATATATATATATATATATATATATATATATATGCCCTAAAGGGTGGCATATATGCTATATCCTTCATATCAATAGGGAGGAGTAGGTGCAATAGGCAACAATAAACTATAGAAGAAGTTAAAATTGATCGCTGCATTTAAGTATTGCATTAATATTTAAGCTTACCTTTTAAAAGTACAGCGATAATTCTTCTGCCGCCACTTAATTTCAAGACAATTTGATGTGCGTAGGTCCTTACCTTCTGTACAAACAATTATTTGTATTTCTTGCGCGACTGTCGCGGGATTTCGCAATTAATTTCGATTATTCGCAAATAGATTTCCAGGTTATAAAAATTGTTATCATACAAAAAAGTCCTCGCAAACTCATGTAATAAATCACAGTAATGACAACTTTAGAATCCACAATTTCAGGATTGCGTATTTGGATACGCTCCGGAATGTTATTAATTTGCTCAGAGAGTCGGTTTGATTCCAGAATGAAAATGAGCGGCTTCTTACCAAACCCAAACAAAGTGCTTCTGACCGAAAGTCAACGAATTGTTTCTTTACTAAGGAAAAAATGATGAATAAAAATACACGTATAATTCTATTTACTAATGCAATAAAGACTACAATTGAATAGTAGCTACCTAAATCTAGTATAAAATTTTGTTACAACTATTTAAAAAAACAATAAAGGAATTATTACAATACAAAATAATAGCAACATTAAACCTGAAGCTGGAATTTACATTATAGATTGTAATAACTGTCATAAGAAATACATAGGTGAAACTTCAAGGAATTGAAATAAACGAATATATAAATAAAAAAGGGATATTTTAGGATACAACACATTCAATGTATTACTCGTTCGTCGTAATGGCTTTGGCCACAACTTCGACTTAAAGAATGCAGTTTTAATTAAAAGAGAAAGTAAATTATTAAGGCGAAAATGCATAGAAAGTGCCTTACATTCTGAGTCGACCAGCCTCAGTTTGCATTCAGGTTCATACAGCATTTCATCTTTCTTAACCCAAACCAGTGCCATTTCAATGTGGAACGTTTCAAAACAAGAGCTATAAATTAAAATAAAAAATGGTAAGAAGCTGTGGTCTTCCGCGAAAGTCTTTTCTGTATTGTTCTTTTTGAAATAAAATAGAATTGTTTTATTAGAAGCAGAATAGCTTGTCTAATTGTCGCACATATCCAAATAATTCCCACCGTAATCGGTGGAGGAAAAGTGATATCGAATATATTATTTAAAAAAAACAAAAAAAAAACGTCGATTTTAATTAAACATCGAGAGAAACTGCGAAGATGGGTCGAAGCTTAAAATTTACAATTAAATTTTAAATTTCTGGCGTTCAATTTCTCTGAATGTTCAGCCTAGCCAACCTCATTCGCGAACAACAATATTATACCCAATGGGCAACGATATTAAAAGAACTGTCGAAAAAGTACGTAATTCCCCGGGAAAGGTTTGAAGAGCCTGGATGACTCGCAGCGTTTTCGTGAGTTAGCACAGGGCAGGGGTGGGGGGAGAACGATAAACTTTATTTACAAAGTTACTGAAGATGAGAAATCACACTGATTTGAACTGTGGCTTCAAGTCAAACAGCTGTGAGGATGCTGTTTGTTTTGGGTTTTTTTTATCTTCGTTGCCTTGGTTGACATGTAACTCATTCCAGCCATAAAACCATTATTTAATCTGAAGAAGTCCCTTTGAAAGATGAAACGAGTTATATGGGACTTTTTTCATTTTGCCATTCAATTTCCCACCTTTAGTCAGATATATAGAATTTATATATCATATTCTCGGAAAAAATGTAAGTGTGAGCTTAACACACACACACACACACACACACACACACACACACACACACACACACACACACATATATATATATGTGTGAAAAGTGTGTGTATATAAATATATATATATATATATGTATAATTATTTACATATTATATGCGCGGCACTTATTAGAAAGCGCTCAATATCAGAGATAGAGCTAACAAATTTGGTTGGATTGATGTGATTTTTTTAAAAATACATACATGCGAAGAAATATTATTAAATGAAGAAATAGAAAAATGCTCTGATTGTTGACATGTATACTTTCACGAGAAATTTTCGCTACACTTCCAATCGTTGAATTTCAACATACAAATTCGTATGTATAGACACAACATACATATGTCAAATCTCATACTGTCCACATGTGTTTATATATGTATGAGGCCCGACGGACAAGCAAGTGTGTATGTGTGTCTGCGTACCTCATCTGATGTACGGACATGCATCTATGTTTGCGTTAGCACGATGACATCACGACGACGATTCCCCTCACTCCTATAATAACACCAATACACGCAATCTACATAAACCTAAATTTAAAAAAAATTAATCAGTTTGTCTGACGATCGCAAAAGCGTGAAATCCAGGGTCACAAACTCACATCAATCCAACCATATATATATATATATATATATATATATATATATACACACACAAATCAAGGCCCGAACCTTTCGATTTTTGAAATTGAAAAGTTTCCTTGAATCTCTTTTTCTTTGTCGATGAATTAACAGGTCACATCTGGTCTGGCGATTCTGATATATATTTAGAGATTCTTGATGAAATCCAAAAGAGAATCTGCAATGTTATCAATCCTGACTTGGCATCTCGGTTTCAGTTTCATTCCCAATTCTTTTCTGAAAATAATTTCATTGCAGTTGTCATCTTGTGTATATTTAAAAGTTCTTGAATTAATATCTCGATAAAAAAAATCTGTAAATATTTTCATAGCATGTGTTCTGATGAGCTTTCCTCGTACAATATAAATTGTAATCATTGTAAATATTCATTGGAGTTTCATGTTGTTATTTTCTTCCCTCCCCTTCCCAGTCAAATTGTACTTATGGGAACCAGTTAGGACTACATAGAGACTCTGAGGTATTATGGTGACTGTAGTAAGAATGGTAAGTAAGAATGTGTTGTTTTGGTGTAAGAAATACTGTGATCTCTTTGGGTCAGTAATCGTGGCTAGCTAAGTTTAAGACAAGACAGACTGAAGACCAGTCTTCCCCTATCCCGCTTTTAGACTTGTGCCACATTTTTGTATTACGCAAAATAAATATTAGTACCTCAATTTTATGATAAGGGAGGTAGTGCTAAAGGTCTCATTATTTTACAGGTGAAATGGTTAGGTGTAACCGTAAGTTCTATGCTAACAGTTTCTTCTCTTGCACTTTTACAATTGAGGAACTTTACTCTGGCTTCTTGCTTTCTTGTTTACTTTTAAAAAAATGCAATGTTAATCGCCATCTGTTGTATCCTTGAATCTCCATGATGTTTCGATAAAAAAAATTCTATAGATATTTTCATGATTGTTATTCTGTTGAGCTTTCTTGTTTGGTGACTAGGTTTTACAAACTTAAATGTAGTACTAGAATGTCGATAAGGTCTCAGCATTTTACACATGTAACCGTAAGTTCTATGCTAGAAGTGCCTTCTCAGGCACTTCTCCATTGTAGAAATCTACTCTGGCATTTTGCTTTCCAGTCAACTTTGATCTTCAGAAATTTAAAGGTAATATCAATCGTCATGTTTTGCATCCCTTAAATTCCATGAATTGGGACCTCGATAATAATAAAAAAAAATCCGTAATTGTTCTGAAGAAATTTCTTCATTGTTAACCTCGACTTTACAATTTTTCTCGCAGTACCGTTAATCTTACGTCTTACTAATTCTAGTTTATTTTTCTCTTTTTCTAATAATATTTTTTTTTCCTTTTTCTCATACTCTTTCATAGACTGCTTGCGTCTTAGTGGCTTTATTACCTTGTTTAATCTGAACTAATTAAAAGCAAAAGGCCAAGGTTTTTTGATTAATATTAAATTCGATTCAGACTCCAAGTATTTCCTGGTTTGTATGACATACCGCATCAATCTGTATCTAGAAGAGGTATTATGTACATTATTTACATTATACGGAATATTGTCCTCATCTTTGTCGCCATATTTATCACAACGTTTCGACCGTTGTGGTTGGAATGTCGAATTTAACCCTTTATTTCGCTCACTGGTGTAGACTGTTCTCGTTCTACGTGCCATGTTTAATGGATGTCAGTTATCAGTTAATTCCCCTCTGAAAATTCTTCACTGCCTTAACCGGGTATTTGAACTCACACTCTTTGGGCCCTGTTACTAGATCCTCAAGGACACATGGCACAGTGGATAAAGGCGTTGGTTAGATCCAGTGACGGGACCCAAAGATTGTGAGTTCAACACTCGTGTCATTCCAAGCATAGAAATGAATACAACATAGGAACTAGTAATAAGGAGTGTCAGAGAAAAGCGATAATAACTACAAAAATTGCAATATGAGCTCTGGTAAAAACATAGATGGTAACAAAAAAAAAAAAAAAAAAAAAAAAAAAGAAGCAAAGTGAGCACTAGTAAAAAATGGTTGCTGATGACATTAGGTTTATAATACCCAGAAATTCATACACAGATGTATGATGTGTCAAGGACACATGGCACAGAGGATAAAGGCGTTAGGTCCAGTGACATGACCCAAAGAGTGTGAGTTCAATACCCGGTTAAGGCAGTGGAGAACTTCGAGAGGGGAATTAACAGGAGATAACTGATAACTGACATGGTACTTGGAACTAGAACAGTCTACATCCCAACCACCTGAAGAAGGCCAGAGCGTACAACGGCCGAAACGTCGTGATAAATAAACAAAGATGAGGACGATAGTCCGAACAATGTAAATAACACCTCATCTCAGAAATATAGAAGATATCAAACGTTGCATTTTCCCGTGGAAATTCGCACGTTTGTCAATATAAGAAAAGTAGTTTTAATTCGAAAAACAAAAAAAAAAAAAAAAAATAGAACAGTGTTTAAAATGAATCGACTCAATTTTAATTTTAAAATTTTTTCTTTTGTAATGCACCATTTAATGGCGACTGCTGCGGAATCTGTTGAGCGAAATAAAGGGGTTCGGTTCGACATTCCAACCACCTGAAGAAGGCCGGAGCGTACAACGGCCGAAACGTTGTAATAAATATGGCGACAAAGATGAGGATAATTGTCCGAATAATGTAAATAATGTACATAATACCTCACCTCAGAAATATAGACAGATACTGAAAGGCCGAAACGTTGTAATAAATATGGCGACAAAGATGAGAATAATTGTCCGAATAATGTTAATAATATATCGCATCCAGCTTATATCTTCGCATTAAATGAAGAATTTTTTTTTTTTGATTATACTGAACGACTACGAAATTTCTAATAAATTTTCCATGGTTACCGAAAAAGAATTAAAATTGCCGAAACCCTGCTTCCAATAGACAATTTTGAGGTTGATCTCTCTCTTTCAAAATAATCGCCCGTATTCGTGCCGAACAAACTTCGAGGGCATAAAAAGTGTTTGGCGATGGAAAAGAGGAAAGCAGTGAGCGATTTGGCGGCCAGAAAGAAGGCATTCGGAAGATATCGATAATGATGCTGATCAAAATAGACAGAGATCGATTGATATGTACTTGTGAGGTCAAAGAACGGTCGTGAAATGTAGGCCTGGAAGTGTCAGACAGAGTGTGAAGCAATGTTCGTCTGATTGAATAAATGTAACGTTATAGAAAGTTGGAATCGTACAAAGAGAAGGGTTGTACGGTCGAGAAATAATAGGAAATTCTAGCGATTGAAGGGAGAAAAACGAGAGAAAAAATATCTTTGTTTCTCTTCAACGGTTGCTTTTTCGTCTTATGCTTTATAATGTTTTTCTGGTTTTTTCCGAGGAAATTGCCATGCTCTTTCTTTGTTGCGTTTCTTTTTAACCAGCTTATCACCAACCTTTCTAATTCCGTTGCTGATTTGGGATATTTTAAAAATACATATTGAGATTTTTCGTTCTACTTTCTTTACATAGTTTTGTTGCTTTCTAACCGGTTCTTTCGATTTTTTTTTACATCAATTTGTTTCTTGATCCATTACTTCTTTCTTTTTCATTTCTTAACTCTTTTTCTTTATTTACAGTAATTCCCCGTGTATAATACGCCTTTATCCATAATACGCCCCCCTAAAATTGTGCTGAAAGTGTGGGAAAATGCTTCTACTCACGCTTAATACACTCCCATTGTTTTAATCAAACCCTATAAATTGTACCTCTCCAATTACATTATTGCCAGCGTTTCCTACACTTATTAAAAAAAATAATTTTAAATATAAAATAATATTAATCTAATTTAGTTTCATGGTAATTCTTGCCGTAATTCCCCATGTATAATACGCAGTTTTTTCTAAAAAAAATAGAAGCAAAATCAGAGGTGCGTATTATGCACAACTACAAAAAATCTTTAAAAAATTGTCGTAAAATAAAATACCGTGATTCCACATGTATAATACGCAGTTTTTTTCTAAAAAATTAATAAGCAAAATCAGGGGTACGTATTATGCATAGCTACAAAAAATCTTTAAAAAATTGCCGTAAAATAAGAATTATCATATGACTAAATTAGAATAATAGTATTCTATATTTAAAACCATTTTTTAAATAAGAGTAGGAAACGCTGGCCGTAATGAAATTGGAGGGGTACAGTTTATAGGGGTGCGTATTATGCGTGATTAGAAAAAAATTCCCACACTTTTATCAAAATTTTAGGGGTGCGTATTATGGATGGAAGCGTATTATACATGGAAAATTACGGTATTTTATTTTACGACAATTTTTAAAAAGATTTTTTGTAGCTGTCCATAATACGCACCCCTGATTTTGCTTATTTTTTTTTAAGCAAAAACGCGTATTATATATGAGGAATTACGGTAGCTGTTTTAATTACATCCTTTCTTTCGTTTTTCATTCTTTCTACTTTTTCCTTCCCTCGAGTACTGATGGGCATAGTCTTTCTTTCTTGGCATATTCTTTCTTTTGTTTTTATCCTTAACATTGTCTCATTAGCTGATTTCATTAAATTCTTTTTTCCATTATCGGCCATATGTAAAAATCATATCTGCCTGCTCACGATATTGATAGCCTGCCATTGTTAAACGAAACTTTTCTCAGTTAACTCACCACTACACACGTTAAACGATGAAAAGACAGAACAGCGAAAAATGTACACGAATAACAAATGTAACGTAGTCTACCTAACAACACAGCGCCATCTATCGTAAGCTTACTTTAAACATAATAACTCAAAAACGAAAGATTTGCGGTCATTTGTTTATATGGACTTTTGTTGTTGTTTTGGTGAGAGGAATACGCCTCAAAAGACTGTAAAAGTATTTTTTTGACATTTATATATATATATATATATATATATATATATATATATATATATATATATATATATATATATATATATATATATATATATATATATATATATATATGCAGTAAATTCGATCTTGCTAATTGACCGCTACTCTGTAGCCAAATCGGTTAAGGCACGTCAAGCTAAATGACGGTTCCGTATAGGATATAGGTTCGAATCATGTCGGAGGACGAATATTTTCTGTGAAAATTTCTCGGACATTCAGGCCAGTAAATGTTTAATTATGTTTATTATAAACAGAGCATTTACTGAAATATTTGTATCTATAAAAAGAATGTATAAACATAAAAATGTCTTAAAATATATCCACAGACAGACTGTATCACAGCTCATCAGTGTGGCTAGACGTCCGGTTGCCTCTAGCTAGGATCAAAACCCGACTGAATTGGCGTCAGTCGGAAATTCTACCACTAAGCCGTTGGGGCGCGGCGGGGATGAAGGTGAATTTAACCGTATTAATTTTTACATAAACACACAGTAACTGAGAGAACTCGATTCGATTTACCGAAGAGTCTTGCATTATTAGCCGTAATTGTCACTGTTTACAAACCCACACTTCCTCCCCAGGGAGCTCAACTGAAATAAACTTTTCAGGAGCATATATTGTCATCCACAGACAGATCGTTTCGCTGTATTACAGCTGATCAGTGTGGCTAGACATCGGTTGCATCTAGCTCGGATCGAAACCCGATATATATATATATATATATATATATATATTATATATTTTCAATTATAGGTGCGATTTTAATTTATAATTACATGAATCATTCATACAAAAAAAACAAAAACAAATATAGAGGTTAATGATTTAAATGGCGAGAATACATCTTCATCAAACAATATCAATAAGATACACCAACCCCGAACATGTATATGAATGATGATCTCTGTTTTATAAATTCTGCATAAGGTCTTTTTAAATTTTTTCCAAGCTTTCGTAGGACTGTTCCTGCAGACATTTTTTCGGATTACATCTCTATTTTCGTTGTCCTCTTATTCTTTAAAAATTTTTCCAACAGAATATGACTGATCTGTTCCTTGATTTTTGATAAGAATTATCATTGATATAATGTATTTATTGATAAGAATGATTACATATATATGAATGATTCATAATTATATTTTTTTTTCATTCCCTTTTAAATGAGACCCTCCAATGTTAGTGGCATTATCGCCTTTTTGATGGTTGAAGAGATAAAAAAAAATATCAATAAATCCGTAAATTAATAATGAAAAAAAATGACAAATATTGTTAATGCACTTAATCCATTGACTAATATGAAACGCATAGACTTAACATTATTTCAGCCCAAATTTCATTGAATAGATGTGTGTCATGCGAATTATACATCCTTGTTTATTCCTTTACAGTTGATGATGAACATGGATTAAAAATTGTTAATTTAAATGCAGTAAGTCAACATGTACAAATTTGAAATGCGTAAACTTGTCACGTCGTTATGGAGCCAGTCGTTAATGGTGAGAAAGTGGGAGATTTTGTCGGTCGTCTAACGCGTCGGGGTTATGTCCCAAAAAGACTAATCATTTGAAATGTCTCGTTGTTTGCGTTTTTTAAATATTTGATTACTGCAAATTTTTTTTACTTTTTTTTTTTTTTAATTAGTTCAAGCAAAGTATAATTTGCTCGTTATTGACGGAGAAATAAAAACGTATTAAAATTGAGGAATGAAATCAAATGAAGTGACCACGGGAAAAACGGCGGCGGTAAAGATCAGTTAAGGAATAAACTGAATCGGAAACTATCATTTATAATAAGCTGAGAGAAACGAAGAAAATGGCCGCCATGTTGCGGCAGTTTCTATTTTCATATCAAATATTTTGTCTTGCGATTTCTTTGTTTTTTTTTCTCATTGCATTTAACGACTTTCTTTCTTTCTATCTGTTTCTTTCTTTCTCTCTTTCTTTCTGTGTATTCTTGAAATATCTGTTTACTTTCTTTCTTTTTTTGTTTCTTTCTTTGTACTCTTGAAATACCTGTATACCTATTTCTTTCTTTCTTTTTCTTTTTTTCTTTCTTTCTTTCTTTCTTTCTTTGTTCTCTTGAAATATCTATTTTCTTTTTTTTTTCTTTCTTTTTTGTACTCTTGAAATATCTTTACTTCTTTCTTTGTACTCTTGACATATCTGTTTTCTTTCTTTCTTTTTTTTGTTTCTTTGTACTCTTGAAATATTTGTTTACCTATTTCTTTCTTTATTTTCTTTCTTTCTTTGGACTCTTGAAATATCTGTTTTCTTTCTTTCTTTCTTTCTTTGTACTCTTGAAATATGCTTTCTTCTTTCTTTCTTTCTTTCTTTCTTCCTTTCTTTTTTGTACTCTTGAAATATAAAACTCTCTTTGTGGCTTGAAAGCAAATCTGTTTTTTTCTTTCTTTCTTTCTTTAGTTTCTTTCTTTGTACTCTTGAAATATGCTTTTCTTTCTTTCATCACTTTTTCTTCCTTCTATTTCTCACAAAAATACTAATTGAAATATGTTCCATTTTCTTATTAAACTCTTGAAAAAATATCTGCTTTTCTTTCTTTCTTTCTTTTGGAGAGTTGAAATATCTGTTTACTTCTCTCTTTCTTCCCACAAACCTTTCTTTTATCTTTCATTCTTTGTACTCTCGAAATAAATTTTTCTTCTTTCTGAAGCTTTTACTTTTGACCATATCCATTTTCTTTCTTTCATGAGAAATCATTTTCTTTAGAGTTTTTCTTCCGGAAATTATACAGTGTTTACTTTCTTAAAACCTTGACATTTTCTTTCACAAGAAACATTCAATTTTCACTTTCTGAACTTTCTTTCTTTGGAACTTTCTTTTCTTTCTTTACCAAAAACAATAATTTCTTTGGAGGAGAGTTTTTCTTTCTTTTTTTTTTTTAAATATCTTTATTCTAACTCATTTTATCGATCCATTATTTTATTGAGGATTCCTTGGGAACTTGTTATTATTGAAAATAAAAATTCTTTATAAAAAATAATAATGACAATGAAAATTACTTAAAAAATAAAATTTAAACCTAGTTTAAAATTCAAGAAATAAATAAAAAATAATAATAAAATTACTTTCTTTTTTTTTCCTTCTTTACAGATTCTCACCTTTCTTTGAGATTCAATCTTTTCACTCTAAGGATCTTTCTGTGTTTG